TGGCCAGTCTGGTTGGGGGGGTGGCCTGTGCCCCCCCAGGCCACCCCGCTGGACACGCCACTGTACAGCCCTGCACCTTTTAGATACATCCTTGTTCCAACAAACCTAATCAAATTATTGACTTGTTACGAGGCCTTTGCCAAATTTGATGGCATGCTGAAGAGGTAGCTCAACCATTTGATTCAGCTGTGTCGGAGTAGGGATGCATCTAAAGGCTGCAGGTAAGTAGCTCTCGAGTACTGAAGTTGGAGACTCTTGGAGTAGGACTACCTGTGCAACCTCTGTAGGGTTCTGGTATTACCTTATTCTACCAGTACTGACACTGACCGTAGCCAAATGCAAAGCAAGTGAAAAAGAAAAGCAGCCAGAAAGACAACCGAGTGGCAACCTGTAAAACCACTCCTGTTCTGTGAGTTGTCTTACTGTTGACAGTCTAGTGGACCTGTTGTTATTTCTAATGACACCAACCAAGTTAAAACTGATTAACAATCCCCTCTCCTACTATATAACCAGACCAATTTTCCAGAAATGTTTTATTCAGCAGTGTATATTGAGCTATTTGGCAAAGCTTTAATATTTTTTTTGCACGATGTTCATAAATTCCTCTTCTGACAAATGATCAAAATTCTTTCTCCATCCATCCAGCCATCCATCTTCTTCCGCTTATCTGGGGCCGGGTTGTGGCAGCAGTAGCCTAATCCCAGACCTCGCTCTCCCTGGCCAACTTCGCCAGCTTGTTCGGGGGAAGACAAGGCGTTCCCTCTCACCAGATATCCAAACCGATATTATGACCAACAGCTCTTATAGCTGTGGAACCAGTAAACATGAGGTGATACTCAAAAGTAAAATTAAATAAACTCTAACAACAGCTTATCAAGCTTAAACGGGCTTCTGTTGTTTATCAAGGCTGACAAAAAAGTTAACATTTTGTACTAGTAAGTCTTTTGTAATGCCATGCAGAGGCATACTACAGTCACCAGGATGTCCTAGATCAGTGGTCCCCAACCTTTTTTGCGCCATGGATCGGTTTAATGTCAGACAATATTTTCACAGACCGGCCTTTAAGGTGTCCCGGATAAATACAACAAAATAAAATTATCCAAGACAAAAGCTGTGGTATTTTGTAACTATATTAAGCCTTAACTCTAGAGGCCCGGTACCAAATGACTCAAAGACCAGTACTGGTCTGTGGCCCAGGCGTTGGGGACCGCTGTCCTAGATCATAGTACGCGTTAATTGTGATTCATTAATTTCACAAAATAACACATAAAAAAATAACGCGTTCAATCGCGCTTTGTATTCCAAGCCGATTAAACTGATGCACACATCAGAGCTACAAAAATGGGAGAATCAGAAAGCGCGTTACCAGGACCGATCTGAGGCAAATTTCATTCAACCCCAGGTAGGCCAATTATGGATCTTCGGATCCACATTATGTCAGCAGCTATTCTCCACCGTGAACTATGTTAAAAACAAACACCGCTCACGCCTCACAGATGACAGCTTACA